CTGTAACAAAACAAGTTTTTTGTCAGTTTTAAGCCAAAAATAAACCACCAAGGCTGTGCATATAATTAAATAAAAGATTTAAAAAAACACAATTAAGTGCAAAAAGAAGCTAAAATATAAAAACTTAATGGAACTAAAATATATGGATTAACTAAATCACTGACAGGCACAAAATTCCACCATCCCAATTCTCGATAAAATAAAATTCTGCCCTTAATTCGTTTCATGGTTTTTACGAATAAATATTTGTTTATTCAGTCTCCTTTGAATTCTGAAGCAATAAACTGTTTAGTTTTCATCTTTGATTTCTTAATTTCGATTTTTAAACTTAAAAATGCCACTTAGAACACTTAAAATTCCACCCAATTGATTTTTTTTCATTTTCTCGATAAAAGAAAATTCTGCCCGTAATTTGTATCATAGTTTTTACCAATAAATATTTGTTTATGCTATGTTTTAAACATCATTAGAGGTAAACACACTTAATCCTTAATTCAAAACAAGGATACAGAATTTTTCAATGTTTACTTTTTACATAATTTAAAATGTTTATTCAGTCTAATTTGAATTCTGAAGCAATAAACTGTTTAGTTTTCATCTTTGTTTTCTTAATTTCGATTTTTAAACTTAAAAATGCCACTTAGAACCCCTAAACCTAAAGAAAATAACAAAATAGGACAATAAATTATTAGTGGTTCTAATTTGAATTTATTTAAAAAAATTCAAAATGTTTAAAACCTAAAAAATCCAACTATTTCTTAACATGTATTTATATAACTACACTGACAGACAAAAAATTCCACCCAATTGATTTTTTTCATTTTCTCGATAAAAGAAAATTCTGCCCGTAATTTGTCTCATTGTTTTTACCAATAAATATTTGTTTATGCTATGTTTTAAACATCATTAGAGATAAACACACTTAATCCTTAATCCAAAACAAGGATAAAGGATTCAATGTTTACTTTTTAAGGAATTTAAAATGTTTATTCAATCTCATATGAAATCTGAAGCAATAGACTGTTTAGCTTTCATCTTTGTTTTCTTAATTTAATATTTAAACTTAAAAATGCCACTTAGTGCTGAGGATGTTGTGCGAGGTGTGGCACTTACTGATGATGGACGTTCCATCAGGTATGCGGCTACTGCCATCGGAGTTCACTTCGAAACTTTGCTAGACGACGTTAGACGTTTTCGAAAAGCTGGGTCCTACCATAGAAGGCCCGGTTCTGGACGCGCTAGGGTAACAGAACCAGGATTACCGTTGTTCGACTTGGAGAATTTTGCAAAACCGGCACCTTACTGTTGTTCAATAGATTCATCAGCTCCAGGGAGTTCAAGGTGTCCAAATTTCTGAACGCACTGCCCGAAGAAGATTAAATCAGTATGGACTGACGGCTTTTCGCCCCGTAAGAGGACCAGAATTGACCAGAACACAGAGTTGCACGGCTCGCATTTGCTCGAGAACACAGCCATTGGTCTTTGGACGATTGGACTGCTGTGCTTTTTACAGATGAGTGAAGATTTGCTCTACGATCTCCCGACGGGCGTGAAGGAGGGTGGAGAAAGCAAAAATGAAAGGTACGACCTGTAATTTTTCCCAGAGCCCACCTTTTCAACGTAGCTCAGTGATGGCACGGGCGGGAATTTCAATGGAGAGTCGCACAGAGTTGGTTGTTGTTCGCGGAGGGTCTTTGACGGCTACTAACTATGTGGATGAAATTTTGGGACATCATGCGTTTCCCATCCTCGATGAAATCAGTGACAATCCTATTCTAATGCACGCTAATGCCCGTCCACATATCGATCGCATAGTACAAACCTACCTTCAACAGAAAAACATCAGGGTCTTAGCCTGGCCAGCCCGTTCTCCTGACTTTAAACCCATCGAGCATTAATGTGATAACTTCAAAAATCGAATAACAGCACGTCCATCCCTTCCTGATACGATACAAATCCACGTTTTTGATAGGACTCTTCCTGAAGAATGGGCTAACCTCCATCAAGGAGACTTTTTCAGACTGGTAGAAAATATGCTGAGGGGGTCTTCGATATGTAATTAAGCAAAGAAGAGGAAATGCGTGATGTTGAAATCTTAATTAAAAATCTAAAACAAAATTATCTGCCGGTCTTTTTTTTTAAATTTTTATTTTGCATTTTCCTTAGCAGTTAACTTTTTTAAAACTTTTTTAGACAAAGACAATTATTAAACTTTAAAAAACGTGAAATTTTTATTAATATATACAAATATGTCCAAATCAAGTTGTATTACTAGTAGGTGGAATTTTTTGCGTGTCAGTGTATAATATTGTTCTGAAATTTTAAACAAATATTCAATTAAATAATTTAATTAGTTTTATTATTAACCGTTCTATTCCAAGCTCATTTTGCACAATTTGTAACCAAATGTAAATCTTGAAATATTGCTTTTTGGTCTGCGAGGAGATGAATCAGTAAGTTACGCGTTAAAGCCCGTAGAAAAGAAATACGCACGGGAAAACGAGAATGAGTAATTAATTTTATTATGAGAATTATGGTTATAATGCGTTAACAATGTGTGCTGATTACAGATGTATGATTTTTTTCCCCTTTGAGGTCTGAAGAGGGCTGGTTAAGTTAAACAGTTATTACTAAGTCATTTCACCCCCGGGGCGTAAGGGTGTCGTGTAAATGGGGGTAAAAGGTGCCAAAAGGGATAAAGGGATGCCCTCGGCACACCTGGCCCTTAACTCCGTCTCGCATTCTCTTCTCAAGTGGGACGGAACAGAACTGTCACAACATTTGCCGCTTCTGTTGTCGGAAGGGTTACAGAGCTTTCTCACATCCTCCTCCGGGGTCCGGTTTCCCAACCGAAATTTTCATCCTGGACTCATGTCAGCCGGGCGTCGACGGATCGTACGAGGCATTTAATCACGTGTAATTTGACACGTCGCAAATGTTCCAATATCTGACTGGGCATAAAATAATCGCGATTTTGCTTTATTGGCACGATAAAAAAGCCTACATTTCTGATTTTTTTTAATAAATTCAAATATACCTCTGGAAAGGTTTTATACTATATATATGTAAATATTTTTGTTATTGTGTTAGGTAAAAATAGTTTCTCCGACAAAATATGATAGGTGTTGAGTATTCCCAAGATTTTGTTAATATTGAGCGGCTGAATGCTGCGGTGGTTGATGAATCTGTGACATTTGTAATTATTAGGATTGGGAAGGAGGTAAAGAAACATTAGACCAAGGATACACAGCAGACTGAAAAGAAATCAAAGAAGCTTAAAAGGTTCTGTAATGTACGATACCACTTGCAGTATGCCCTTCTGAAACTGGAGAACCTCTCTATTTAAAGGCTTCTAACGAAGGCAGTATCCATCTAAAAACCGAATTTGGCTTTTTTCACTTCCGAGAGCCTCCGATATCCTCAGCTCCAATGGATTGACCTTTCTACGTTTTAGAGATGAATAGTCCAAGCTTTGGTCTAGATCTTCGTGGCTTCACTGACAACAGTAACTTCACTTTCTCCCCCATACTCCTCTCAGTTTTATCATATGCTCTCGAATATAAAGATAAATGCAAAATACTATTATTTATCAACAAATTATATGAACTAAACTAAGCAAAGGTGCTACTACTAATTCGCCTTCAAATTAACACCGACCGACATTTTAGCGTCGAGGGGAAGAGAAAGAAAAGAGAGATGAGAGGGAGAGAGAGAAAGAGCAGCGAGAAAGAAACGTGACGGCGGATAGATAAAGAGAGAATGAGAAAGAGCTGGAAAGAGCAGAGAGAGACCACAAAAGATAGAAATGAGAGAAACAGACAGAGGAAGGCTATTTTATTTATAAGATTTATTAAATTTTAATATAAGAAAGTTTTTATCCAGCCATTTTTAATTAAAAGATTTTAGTGACTGGGAGTTTTGTGGCTCTGAAAAGGGCCGGTGTTGTGTAGAGAAGGCGTGATGATGAATCGAGGCAGAGACCGTGTGCGTGTCGCCGTTGGTGGTGGTCTGTGACCATGAGTAAACCGTTGGCTGAGGTCCGGGGGCCAGTCGGTTGACTCCACAGAGGCCGGAGGTATTGAAGTACAGCAATTAGCCGAGGGGCAGCAGTTGGCGTTTACGGCCAAGTCGGCTGTTTAGAAGGCGAGATCAGGCTAATGCTGTGAGTACTTGCTGTCGTCGACGGTGTACCTTTAGTGACGGCTCGTCAGGTTGACAAGTCTAGTATAGTCGATTATTAGTGATGTATGAGACCTCGTCGGGCTGACGAGCCTGCTGTCGTTGTTGCCGATGTCGGTTACATTAGTGAGTGGTGAGATCTCGTCGGGTTGACGAGTCTCATTCCAGCGAGGCAGTGCCCCTGCTTATATAGGGAAGAGCACTACTCTGATTGGTTGCAGAGTGGAGGGTGAGAATATTCCATAAGTCGTAGTGGCTTCTAGCGGTAACGTTTGGTAGCTACAAGTGGCCACTACAGGATTAATTTTGGATTAAAATTCCATATTTATAGTGGGTTTTGTTCAGCGATCGGTGGTTCAATAAGTGGTTGACCCGGAAAATGTTAGGGATGGTTACTCTCTAAAGCACAAGCTGTACTCGTGTCGGCCTCGGGTCGGCATGGGGCGGCGGGTGCTTTATCAGACGTGGGTTAGGGGACCAGATCATGTCTGCATAGACGGGGGAGGGTGCATAACCATCTGTTGTATGGGGTAACAGAAATTTTCCAAGGTTCAGCCTCTGTTACACTGCGAATGGACTCGTAGTTGGCCGTGGCGAGACCCCTGGCGGGTACCTAGAGAAGATGCTGTCTGCTATCTGTGACCTCCGTACGAAACTCGCGTATGACCATCGTTATTCACCCGGCCTCACGGGATACGAAGGATCGGACAATCGAAGCGTATAGCGTTGAGGAGCTCAGACTACGCAGATGGAGTCCCCCGAACGCGTGAGAAGTGGCGGATGGAAATGGATAGTGAATCGGTTGCGCCTATTCGAGTGCG